TTAAAGTGGTCTGACTGCCTTTTACCATTCCAGCGATAATACCAACTGTCTTTTTATTTCTAACAACAAATCATGGCATCTGAAATTATTTCTTAGAAAGCTAGGGATTAACTGAAACAAAAAGATTCCTGAGAAATGGAAGAGAGACGATGGGCTTGACATGAAAGAGAGCAATATGTCCATGGGTTAGAAGTCATGTGGAAAATAGATTAAACATCTCTTCCCCACTAAGAGTTTAGTTTCTGCAGCAATTATATAATTTCTTTGATGTAATAAAATAATGTCACCTCAAGACTTCCAGCATAAATATATAAGTACATTGTGTGTTTAAATAAAAATCTAGTAATTTGAAGTGTTTCAGACTATAGACACACAGTACTTGAAATATTTTTCCATCCTACAATATACTACAAAAAAAAATCCCAAGAACCAATTTTTCTCTTAATTTTTTTCAAGATAAATAAAAATTTATTATTAAAGGTTTAGACCTAAATTGTCACTTGCTAAAATCAGTTTAGTGACGTAATAGAGCAATGCTGTGCAATTGGTTATGAAAATTTATAATTTTTTTAAAAATCTGGAGGACATTTTGACTCTGCTTCTCCCTCTCCCCCCATTGGATTAGTGCTTTAGTATTGCTCTTGGTATTTTTACTGCAGACATGCCACTTTTTTTCTTCCCCTAAGAAAGTAAACTAATAAATTTGATGCCTTGTGTTAGCATTAGTTGGAATTTTTTAAAACTTGAACATAAAAGCAAACTTGGCCTTCAGTGAAGACTTTTCTTTACATGATATTAGCAGTAAAATGACCTGGCAAATACTCGAAGGGATGGAAAAAAATATCTTCCCTCCTCCTTTCTTCCCCCAACTTTTATATTCACTGAGCTGCTTTGTTCTCTGTATCCTGCATAATTAATAACTACTTTGGCAATCAGTCATGCATTCCTTAATGGCACCTCAGGCATCAAGTGTCCTTGTAAGCCTCCCCCACAGAAACCATACACTCCTACGCAATGCTCACTGCCTGGGCACTGACTTCACTCTGGCCATGTCACTTACAAAATCACTATCAAGGAAAACGTATATTTGGGGTTATAGAGTAGCTACCATACTTAGTATCCTCTAGTATCATTTCATCTCCTTATAGGTTAAATATATGAACACTTTTACTAACAATAATTAAAATTATGCAATACCCAATGTGTCACTGTTTATACATATTAAGAAGAAAATTATAAAAATAATGGAACACATTTGGCAGCAATTTAAAAGATGAGTTTCACTGGATTGGTGTGAGTTAGTCTTCAGTTCATTCATCACCTTACACTCCCTTTTTCAGGCCAGAAAGAAAAGATAGAAATAGATGGGATCAGTTGGTATGGTAGCTATAACATATGTTGTCCTTAATCTTAACTGATCCTTTCACTAAATGGAAAGTAATAGTAAATTATTAAAAATATTATGTTATTACTTCTGATTAAAACTCTTTAAAAGGATAATATTCCATAAACCCATTTAAAAGAAATTAGTGGTAGTTTAATCATCATCCTTCAAAATGTTAATCAGATTGGAGGGAGAAAGAAAAAATCTTCAAATCATGTAACCATTTGAAAAGATGTATGATTATAAGTAATATTGTACTCAAGAAGAATAGTTCTATATACAAATAATAAAACTACTAAAATATCCAGAATTAGATATGTACATTTTGTTTAAAAAATAGGCATTGTTTTTGAAGTATTGGTCTGACAAAAAATATGCAATATTTTTTACATTAAGGCTGAGAGTTTTTTTTTTTTAAATAAGACTTTTAATAAGGTGTTTTGCTACTAGAAGAAAAAATATTATTTTTTCAGCCTTTGCAGGTTTCTTAACATTCTTAAATAATGGTGCTTATGCTACAGTACACAGAGTAAAACATACACAATCTATTATAAATTACTCCAAAATTAAACAAGAAATTTTCTTTTCTTTCTAAGAGATCTGCTGGGCTCTCAATGTGTGTGGCCTCCAAACAGAAACAAGCTTGCACTGTTTTATTTCAGTTTTGCTTCATTTCTTCCCAAACAATCTCTCACTGCTAATCTACCAGGCCTTTCTTTTTTCTCTTTTAGCATGAAGAAGAAAAAAAAATCAAAGACATTATTAACTCCTTATGCACAATCATAAAAGCTGAATATTTATCACTTGACATCAACTTACATGGATTTATTTTTCATTATGTATTAATGGGGCACGACTGTGGAATATACATATATATATATATATATATATATATATATATATATATTTCTATAAATAATTATTGAAAATAGCCAAAAATGCTAAAATTTTAAATTTATGTAGTAATTCTGGAGCTATTTTTAAGCTACCAAAAACTAGCTATAATTTCACCTAAACACTATATGATAAAGATTTTTCTAAAATAAAACTAAGCCTGTTATATCAACCTAAAATAGTAAAATTGAAGGATACAATTTTTATATCTTATTCTAAGGTATTTGGGAATCAAGGAACTGATACTGAAATAATATCATTACAGAGGAAAGTACATTATGTGTGAAATATATAAACAATCTTCCAATATTAAGTTTGCACCACTTTTTTCAAAATACTAAATAATCCTATATTTAACTACATGCTTTCTCTCATTCATTAGTTGAGGGGAAAAAGGTAAATCATTTTTATGAAGGTGAACATAATTTTTAATGGCAACATGTGTGGCAACAACTGTTTCTGAGAATTTTAACTAATGTAAGGTAATTAGAACCACCGAGCCTTAAAGATTGACTAGTATCAAATATCCATTTATGATTCCAAAGAAAGCTGCAGAGCTATCTTCTTTCCTTGTAAAATACAAGAAATAGTAAAATCAACTTTCTCTATAATTATCCCAGAAAAAAAAAGTAACTGAACACGAACATATTTCTGTGTATAAAAATAGACACAAAATATGTATTAAATTAATTATAACTGCAGGTAAAGATGACTATACACATTAATAGTTATAATGTTGTAAGTATGCATTAATTTTTTTTAAGTAGCCTAATATCTAGATGTTTCACTCCTCATCAAAACAAAATAAAACAAAAATAGTTCAGTTCTTTAAGTAGGGCAAGATTGTGTTCTTGGTAATAGAGCCTAATATATCAGGATCCAGAGAACATGTGGTTCTTCAATTTTCTAGTTTATGCATCATCACTACTGTGCAACAGCTACAAAGGTAAGAATGAATGTGAAGTCAGTGCAGCCCCTCGGGTTTAGAAAGCTCTAAGGGAAACAGCTGAATGTCTATGAGACATGAATGAGCAGCTGCGATGTGTCTGGCATTGTACTAGGCATTTAATAACAAACCTAATAGCAGGAAGTTAATAATCCAATAAGGATGTGCAGTTAATATCATTTTTATCATTAGCAGGGTAAGAGAGCATTGTTGGCCATTGGCTCTGAAGGTCCTAGTAGTGGATTTGCATTGAGGCCATTGCCTCGGGGAATTGGGTGTGCTAAGTTTGAAGTTCATCCTGGGCTAATAAAAAAAAAAAAAGTATTCGAGATGATGGGTGGAGAGACGGTGCTTGAAGGGGCACTTGCCCCTGAGCAAATGACACGAGAACTTTTAAGTCTCTTCTCCAAAAGCAAACTTTCTTCCCTTAGGCTTTCATTCATTGCTCCACATATAAGACTGATGGATTGCTGTCCTGCTAGAAATACTATTGTGGGGAGTGGGTAAAGGAAGGAGCATCATTTAGCAATACACAATAATAACTCAAAACACTCTGCAAGGCTTAATAGCAAAGTTACTTCCCAAAATTTTGCTTATCAAATCTTGCTCTTTCTCTGGGCAGTTATTGTCTGTAGAATGACTGCAGCTGTGTGGGATGATGGATGGATATATGGAGCCAATACAAAGAATAGGCGAGGAAATGGCCAATAAACTGTCAAAGTCAGTTTAAACCCAAAAGAATAAAAGCTTATAAAATTGTAAAATTCATATGTCAATAATCATTCCAGAAAGCAATATGGAAAATTAAAGTCACCAAGTCACACTTGTTAGGCAATGTAGGACCCTACCATCATGTTCTCTTGTTTTCCTAGGCATAAAGCACATTTATATAAGATCCCTTATGCTATTTCTCCAAAAAACTTCATTTCCTGCAGCCCATCACAGGTCAACTTAGTTTCCATGCCAAACATGTTTCCATAGATACCAAGAGAATGTCAATTCTCATCCCACCAAACTCCATATATACAATTTATCAAGCTATTTTAATAACTATTTGCATATGCACTGAATTTAATTTTAATGACATAATCAGTGCTACATGTTTCACCTAAAGTCTCTCAAATACAGGCTATTCTCGGTGTTAGGCACAGCAAATCTCTGGTAATAGGTCAATACCAAGTGGGGAACTGCCCTCCCCTGCTAGCCTGATTGCCCACAACTGCCCTCCCTTGCAGGCATGGTCCCTCCCAACTACCCTCCTCTCCTGGCCATCTGGGGGTGGCCATCTTATGTCCACATGGGGCAGCCATCTTGTGTGTTGGAGTGATGGTCAATTTGCATATTACTCTTTTATTAGATAGGATGACCATATTTAAAATTAATTCAGGAAGAATTTCTATAATCCAAAATGTGATGGTGATCCTTAAGTGATAAGGATAATAAATACACTAAATTTCTTATTTTGTTCAAGAGAAAATTCTACTGATCCTACTAATTTCTCATCAACACTGAAATACCAGACAGTGAATTAAGTGTAATGGGTTTATCACAATTGTCTAAATGTACAAAACACATTTTGCTTCATTTATTGAAAAAAGTATTTAACATGGCGGATGACTTACTGTGATGAAATTCAAGTTGTGGTAACTAGAGTAACATTTATTAAAATAAAAATTAAGCCAGAGAAAAGTTTTTGTGTTTTCCAGTTTAAAAGAAAAAAGAAAGCAAACAAGTAACTGAGCTAATTAAATAAGCAGATCTCTGATTCGTACTTACGGGCATGACAATGTTGTAGTGGATGCAGAACCCCGGTTCAGAAGGAAAATATTCATCAGATACAAATCTTATCCTGATTTGATTTCCTTTAGAAATCTGTTTTCCTGGCACAGTCCCAGAACCACACCAGCGCCCTAATATAGTTCCATCACTGGGGTCCTCAACTTCTACAAAATCATACCTGCAAAGAGAAAGATGGAAAAGACACAATATCATGATCTGTCATTATGGCAATTCATGTCTGAGGAGCAGTAAACCTACAACCATAGGTATGAGTTCATCCCAGATTTAACTGGGTAAAAGAATCAAATATTCCAAAAAAAAGGAGACACACTAAAAATGGATGCCAAACTAAAGAAATATGAGTCCCTTATTCTAAGCCCTCTCATTTTATTATTAGTGAACTCCAAATTCACTAAATAGCCATCTCAAACCTTAAATATTTTGTATGAAGAAACCATCTCTGACATTCAATTCATGAATTATTCAATTTAATTTCCATTTGGACCTGACAGCCTTATTCCAATCTTAATTCCTGCTGTTACTGCCCATTACTTTCTGACAGTAACTCATTCATGCTAGTTAGGCTCCTTGGCTCCCTTTACTCATCTGTGATGCAATGTGATGGGACCTTTATTATAGACCAGCATTGTTCAACCCTTTTCATCTCATGGCATACACAAACTGATTACTAAAATTCTGTAGCACATCAGAAATATGTATTTTTCCAATATGACAAAAACAAAAGGTATAATCTTGATTCATTCCCACCAGAATGCTATCGTCGTGCTGGTTGTTGTCATTTTTTTTATTTGACAGTCTAAGAGAAAAGAGGTCAGTGTCTATTACTAAATAGTCAGGTAGTGTATGTTCTAAAATTATTGTGGCACACCAGTTGAAAATCGTTGTTAGAGAAACATCTTTCAAACCTCACTTTGTACTGTACTATCTTTGTGAAACCTTTCTGGGCATTCTCAGCTTACCATCATCTTTCTATTTTTGATATAAAATATTTTCAATATATGTATATACATATATGCAAGTAATCCATCTTTCTTATACTGTTAAATCCTTGAAAAAAGAAATCAGTACTGACATATTTTTATTTTACAATGCATTAAACACAGAGTCTTAAACATAAGATATGATCAATTTTTTAATAAAACAAATGATAGAGTATTTGGTTTAGAAGTTTTGGAGCAGTAGTAATCATTGAAAGCAGTATTGCCCTTTTAGTGAATGTTTCAGAATTTTTTAAAGGCATTTTAGGTTGTTTCAATAATTGTAGTGGGCAAGGTTCATGGATGTTCACCACAAAAAGTCCTGAAAATCAGTATTTGCCCCACTACCTCCATGCTTTTCAAGGAGTTCACTGGATATTCCTTAGATGACATTTCTGCTGTTGTTCATCTGAGTATAGAATCTAATATTATCTTACATATAAACATAAATATGTTTTCCAGTTTTAGTTTAAGCCAAGTCTCCAGAAATTCAACTATCAAATAAGTAGAAGAAAGTTTCAATACTTTGGAACTTAACCAATAGTTACTATTTTGGAAAAACATGTCAGTAACGGGTACATTGCATATAACTATCTGCATCACAATTAATACAATTAGATTTATCCATATTTGTATGTATCTATTAACACATCTATATCCATATTTATATAGTACAGATATAGATATATAGATAGATGTGGATCAATATTTTCTCAACTGAGGATTTTTTAAATTGATTTTAGAGAGAGAGAGAATGAGAGAAACATTGATATGAAAGAGAAACATTTATTGGTTGCTTTCTGTAAGTGGCCCAACAAAGGATAAATAGGTAATTGTTTATATGAATTGCACTTCAGAATACTAAACAGAACATTACAAAACTTCTGTTAAAAGGGAAGTCTGACATGGTTGAAAACCTATTGGTAATTTGTTTAAGAAGACTAAATTCAGTAGCTACTATACAAGTAAAAATAATATATTTTGTGCAGTATTGAATTTACAGAAGAAGAAAACTGTTGGGCATTGTTTATAATCTATATATCTAAAAGCCTAAGCAACCGTTTGATCAGTAACTATGATGCACACTGACCACAAGGGGGCTCAATGCACAGTCATGGAAACATGGAACAGATGAATCTCAGAGGGAAGAGGGGAGTTGGGAAGACGGGAAGAGATTAATCAAAGGTCTTATTTGCATACTAGTGGCCCAGTGCACAAATTTGTGCACTAGTGGGATCCCTTATCCTGGCCTACAGGGATCAGGCTGAAACTGGCAATCTGACATCCCCCGATGGGCCCTAGATTGTGAAAGGGCACAGGCCAGGCTGACAGACCCTACAGGTACATGAATCCATGTATCAGGCCTCTAGTGAATTAATACTTATACATCTTGTGTGAAATAAGTATTCAGAATTCTCTTATGGTATATAACGTCACCTGTTTCAGTGTCATTTTCTTCATCCTTAAATTAAGAATAATGCTACCTAACTTATTGAAATATTTTTTACAAAGGAAAGAGACAATACACGTGCAGTGCCTCAAACATTGTTCCACTCCTCAGATGCCTCTCAGTAAAGTTTGCACCTCATCTCTATCCTGCATTGCTGCCTCTTACCCGATGCCTACTTTTTAATATACCTTGATAGTTTGAAAGCAATAAATAAAAAACTAGAGTACAAAGGGAAGAGGTTATTTCTGCTATGCCATGTGATAAGTCTGGGATTATAAATTACACATGCTCAAGCAGCCAATATAACCATTCCAGGAATTTTAGTGTATGTGTGTGATGATGGGGCCAGGGAGGGTGGGGTCAGGGGTAAAAAGAGTTGGGTACAAAGACCTAAGTAATTATTTCAACTATATCTGGTACAGAAGTTGATAACTACCACTTTAAATCAAAGAATAATTTTTATATCAAGATTGTTTACTTGTGAAGCAAAGCTTCTACTGATAGAGTATCTGTTAATTGTGTGCCTATCTGATGCAGGTTACCACCACTGCTGGTTTGCAGACAGCCAGATGTCAGGCCCAGCCAATCATTTTATGAGGATTTAGGAAGCACTGATCGGGTATAAAGCGCTATGCTAGATTGTCAGGATACAAAGATGAAATCATAGCTTCTTTGAGCTCAGGGTCCATAAAACATTTTGGTAGCGCTCTAATGAGAGAATGTAGGAAATACTGTGGAATACTGGCAGAGAATGAGTAATTCTATACAGTGAGATTAGGGTTAGCTTACAAAGAAACATTTGGGCTGTCAATGAGTACTGATTGACTAGGGGTGGGAAGGGGTGGGGGGGATTTGGAAGTGCATTCCAGCAAGAAGTACAATACATAAGATGTAATAGAAGAAAGAAGGGTCCAGGCACAATCAGTTGTGAATAGAGGGAAAACAAAGAAGTAGATGGAGATCAAGCTGGAAAAATATGTGTAGTTGTGGAGGTATTTCAGAGTCAGATATTCAAATATTATTTCGTAGGCTACTGTTGGTGACAGGTAAACATAATTTCAACAGGGAGTGTTGCTTTAAAAAAAAGTTAACATTTTAAAAAGCAGAATTTCACTAAAAAAAAAAAAATCTGTATCTTTGTTAAATTTGAAAATCTGGTAATAGTAAATATCATTAACCCTAGGGTGACCGTGAGGGCACAAATATCCAGAATTGGTGTCAGTTCCAGGAGAGGAGCTATCTTTGTTTAATTTACTTCTTATCCCTAGCACCGACATGCCTGGCACACAGTAAACAGTGTGTCAGTGTTTGGATAATGAAAGAATGACAACTGAGCCTCCGTTCCTCCATACCAACTCAGGCTGGGACCAAGGGGAAAAGGGTTAGATGGGACATGCTTTTTCTCATTTTTATTGCTTTAACTATGTATTATTGATTTGAGACAGGAAGGGAAAAGGAGGAAGAGATAGAAACATCAATGACAAGAGAGAATCATTGATCAGCTGCCTCTGCCTCTTGCATGCCCCACACTGTGGATCGAGCCCACAGTTCAGGCTTGTGCCCTGACCAGGAATCGAACCATGACTTCGTGGTTCATAGTTCGATGCTCAGCCACTGAACCATGCTGGCCGGGCATAATTTTTAAAAATACCATATACTTTTGATGCTATAAAAAACAAAACAAAACAAAACAAACAAACAAACAAAAAAAAAAAAAAACCAACCACCCAGATCTGCATTAATTTATGTTAATTGTTCATATAGGCAACTGAGTTGGTCACCCTTGAGCATATGAGACACAGCCAGGTTTCAATAAGGAAGGAACATAAAATCATCACATATTTGAGCAATGCCAGGAAACATTTCAAGAGTGGGTCGAAATAAAAGATCCTTTAACAAAAACATCCTGAAAAGGAGCTGCAGGGAAACAAGAGAAAAGTCCCTGTGAGCAATGGCACAGAACTAAGGGACATTATCCACCATAGGTGAGCTGGTCAATGATGAAAAAACAAAGAAGATCTGACAAGTGTGAAGTCATATGCAATAAACTGGTTGGGCAAGAAACATCATGACAAAATGTACCTTCACACAATTTTTCAAAATAACTACTATAATCTTTTTAATAGAAGCACTTAAAAAGAAAAAAATATCATCTGGAACAAACCTGAAACTCACTTACATAACCATTTCAGTGGAGTATATTTAAAAGGCATTTTTTAACTATACACGGAAATATCTAGATTATAACAATTCATTAAGGAGCAAATAATTCTTAAGGCTTGCCTTATCTAACTTATATCCTGATATAAAAATTAAGCCCTGCAAATAAATAAGAGAGTGACACGTACAGTGTTACATTTTCATGGAGATTTTTTGCTGAATTTGATGCCATTAAAAAAAAACATGCTAATCTTTATAGAAATTTCTGCATTTGCAGGTAGACAGCTGGCAATTAATTCTTACATGCTTGTACAAGTTTGGCACAAACATTTATCATAGTGCTTTAAGAATCTAGTTTTTCATTCCCTGAAGGTTAACTGAAATGAATATCTAAAAAAGTACTATATCCTTTGTGTATAAAACAGTAGAACTTAACATATACTACTAATTGATTTTGAGTAAATTAGGCATTTTAAGATTTTTTTCAGAAGTGGTATAAAGCAATCACCCACTTATTCTACCATTAACTTTTGTTATCATACCCATAATTGTTTAGATGTCTATGGAATT